TACGAATAGTAGTAGGCTTGATAACCGGACTGAAAGTGTCTTCATAATCAAGACCGTACCTCTGCTTGAAACCCTTGGCAACCAGCCGTGCCTTGTAGCGCTCAATAGAACCATCTGCATGACGTTTGACCTTAAACATCCAGCCAGAGTCAGCAGACTCAGCCCCAGACGACACTGCCGAGGCGGGGCTAGCTGGCGCAGCCGCCGTGTCAGCTGGGCCCGACGAGGGCAGCTCCTGTGCCCTGACAGGCGAGCCAGGCAAGCCGGGCGCTGGACCGGGTGACCCGATCGACGGGGCGGGCGACCCGGGTGCAGAGGAGGGCGACCCAGGTGCAGGCGCGGGCGAGCCGAGCGACGGGGCTGGCGACCCGGGTAGCGGAGCGGCCGAGGCGGGTGTAGCCGCGGGCACCGCCGACGCCCGCGGGGCGGCAGTGGAAGCACCGGGCTGGCGGGTAGGACCCGCCATGCATGGGCCATGCACAGGATCATCGTGGCCATCATGAGTGTCGTCGAGAATCTCATCATCCAGGAGTTCAAGGCGAGCATCGCGTCCAATACCTGTAGCATGGTTAGGAAGCAACACAGGAGCATTTGCAACATCCACAAATTGGTCAGGTGAAGGTGTAGCGGAGTGCACAGGTGGTAAACTAGTGGTAGAGTGGTTCGGAAGAGCACGAAACGGGAACACATTCTCATCAAACACAACGTCACGAGAAATGTAGACACGATTGGTGGGAACATGAAGACACTTGTACCCTTTGTGAAGAGAACTGTACCCAAGGAAAACACACTTCTTAGACCGAAACTCTAATTTACGCTTGTTGTAAGGCCGCAAGTGTGGCCAACATGCACATCCAAACACTTTGAGAAATGTGTAGTCTGGAATATCACCGAGCAAGAGTTCAAGAGGGGTTTTCATTTTCAGTAGTCGTGAGGAAAGCCTATTTATCAAGAAACAGGCGATGGAGAAAGCATCACTCCAGAACCGAAACGGGACGGAGGCATGAGCTAGTAAAGTGAGGCCAGTCTCTACAAGATGACGATGCTTACGTTCAGCGGTGCCGTTTTGTTGATGTGTATGAGGACAAGACACACGATGCAAAATCCCAAGCTTATTAAAAAACGAGTTGAGGTTGTGATATTCACCCCCCAATCGGATTGAACATGAATAATCTTATGCTTAAGGAGACGCTCAACGTGTGCTTGGAACTGAATAAAAACATTAAACACATCAGATTTACGCTTGATAAGATATAGCCAAGTAAGCCGACTGTAAGCATCAATGAAACTGACATAGTAATTGTGACCACTAACAGATGTTTGGGCATGACCCCACACATCAGAAAACACAAGCTCAAGAGGATGTTTCACAACACGACTAGACTCTGAAAAAGGTAGTTGGTGACTCTTGCCCTGCTGACAGGCATCACAAATAGTTTCAGCACTTTTATTGGACACAACTGGTAGTTCATGACGATGCATCACATGACTAACTATAGGAGGAGCAGGGTGTCCAAGGCGCGCATGCCAGTGCGTAGGTGACACACGAACACCACTGAACACCTGAGGAGAAGACGGCGTAGGAGATGTAGACGGTGCGTCAAGTGCATATAAGCCATGGCGAAGACGACCACTAAGCAGAACGTCCCTCGTGTCCCGATCCTTGATAAAGAAACGAAAAAGGTGAAACTCAGCAAGGACATTATTATCACGAGTAAGTTGAGGAATAGACAACAAACTACGCGTAGCAGAGGGAACTCGAAGGACGTTAGAAAGATGCAGTTTGCGAAAATTGTGTGCAAGAAGTGATGCCTGACCAACATGGGAGATGCGCATACCTGCTCCATTGGCGGTGTGCACCTGATCATGTCCACGATACGGTTCCTGAACGGAGAGCTTGCCTATCTCACTGGTGAGGTGATTCGTCGCTCCTGTATCCATGTACCACGCCTGATCAAGAGAGTACGACTGGGTCCGCCCGTGGTCGTGTCCGGTCACCGCAGCTGCAGCCTGCTTATCATTCCCTTTGCCATTGTTGCCAAGGCCAAGGAAATCTTGCTTGTAGTGTCGGTGGCAGCGAGAGGCGAGGTGACGGTCTATGCCACAAAGCTGACAAGCCTAAGGAGCGCCGCAACTGGAATAGCAAGCAACTAGGCGACTCCCTCCTGTGATAGTCGGCGCATTGCCCCGCGAGGCCTGTGACGGGGAAGCCGGTGGTTTTCCACCTGATGGGACCGGCTTCTGAGGTTTGCCACGTGTGGCGGCGTTGGCGGAGACGAAGCTGGGGGAGACACGGCGCGCCTTAATGCGCTGCTCACGCCCAAGGAGGCGCGCATAGAGCTCACGACGCGGAAGTGTATCATCTCGACCATGGACGTTCTCAATGAGATTATCATAATCGTCATCGAGCCCGTTGAGCACAAAGGTGGTGAAGTCCGCGTCCAGAAGTGGCTGACCAATAGAGGCCAGAGTGTCTGTGGGGCTCGCCAAGTTTGGTCTCGCCTAGCTCGGTGCGTATAGAGTGCGCACGCGCCTGAGACTGGGAGGCAAAACTGGTGTGGAAGGCCGCCCACGCCTCCCTGGACGTAGCGGCGAAGATGACCATCAACGAAACACTCGGCGTGAGCGAGGACTGGATGGCTGAGAGAATAGCCTGATCCTGCGCCACCCACGTGTGATATGCCGGATGGTGAGGAGGTGGGCATGGGATGGACCCATCAACATAACCCTCCAAGTAACGACTGCGGAGGAGAGGCAGGACCTGCGCACGCCACGACAGGTAGTTGTCCGTCCCGAGCTTCACTGGCAGCAAGTGCGAGAAATAAAACGGCGATGGCGGTGAAGCACGATCCTGTGGCGGTGGCGCGTAGGGACCCATAGCCGGGTCCATCTCGTGAGGTGGCGCGATGGCCAAGGGCGCGCCATAGCCAGGGGCACCAGCATACGGGTCCCCTGGTTACGGAGGAGGCGCGGCCCCATAGGGCAGCGAAGGCGGCGCCGCGTAGGGTTGGGGACGCGTCGGTGCCCCGTAGGGCTGCTGCGGCAGTACGCCGTAGGGAGCCATCGGCCAGGCGGCCGGCGGCGGTGGCGGAGCACCCGGAGCAGGGGCGCCATACCACGAAGGGCCATAGGCCGGACCCGAGCCACCGTACGGGTGCGGGGCGGCATACGGCGACACAGCGGCAGCGCCGTAGGTTGGTGCAGGGGCGGTGCCGTACGCCGGCGGCTGGCCCTGGAAGGGCGGCGGCGCTGGTAGGGCACCCGTAGAGGTCGAGGGCGCCGGGCCACCAGAGGATGGCGGCGGAGGGAGGTCGCCGTGGGTGGCGCCCGATCCGATCGGGGACCCCGCGGGCGGCTGGGTGTTCCACCACGCCGAGACCGCGGCCAGGGGCTGAGAGGCTAGAAACGGCGACGAGGGCGCGACAGCAGGGGCCGGCGCATGGGGCGGCGCCGAGGCGGTGTCGGGAACGGGAGTAGTAGTCGGCGCGGCGGCGGCGGCGACGGAGGCAGCGGAAGACATCGTAACCCTAAACTGATACCATGTAAGACGTATGTTTTGGGAACTGCTCGACACCCTAAAACGGGGTGTGGCTATCTGATTATATAGACGTACCAAGAGGTACAATACAAGGCATGTACAAGACTACGTATATACAGTCTAACATAAGCGGTGTTGTGGAAATTTTTATTTTATTTTAACTCGTTTTGCCAACTTGTATCGAACTATGTATGTGATGGCTACTTTGTATAATAATATGGATGCATGCATCATTTTGATGCTGCGGAATCCTTCTTTTGAAAAAAAAAATCGTGTGCTTGATCGGTCAGTTATGTATGTGCCAAACTGTGAAGTTCCAGCCAGGGTAGATTAAGACAAGCCTAATTAATCTTCGCAAAAAAACAAGCCTAATTAAATTTGTGCATATCTCAATGCCATGCATGTAATTTCCGAGCAATCCCAAGTTTACAGCTCAATTTTAATCACCAATTCTGGACAGAAATACCTTTCCTCTAAATAGTTTAATCACTATTTCACTACCAAGAAAATATCCAAAAAAGATAGATGTGTACCTAAGGAAACGACCGAGCACCTAATCATGCTTCGTGTGCTTGCGCGTGAGGTCTGGTCTCACATCCTGAGATGGATCTTCCTGCCGAACCAGACATCCAGTGCTAGGCGACGCCCTCACCTGGTGGTCTGCTCCTCAGCAGAGCATCCCTCGCAAGCTGAGAAAAGGTGTCAGATGGTTGATCCTCTGCTCGCTACGATGCATGTGCTTGAGGGAAGCACAAGGGTGTTCAAGAAAACCTCTCTGGTTCATCCATCAGTAGTCGATAAAATTCACCAACATTGCATTGAGTCGCAGAAGGTGGGGAAAGATAGTCTTTAGTGAGTAGTTACTTAGTCTTGCGATGACGGAATGGGAAGTTTGGGCTGCCGTTTATGTGGTGGTTATTTGTATATGATTCTTACTTCCTATCTTAATATATGGGCACACTTATCTCATGCATTTCTCAAAGAAAAAAAGGATGTGTATATCATGCATGTTTCTTATATGTCGGCAAAGGGTTTGAGCAAAAGGTTAAGCCTTATCAACAATAATATTGATAGGCACAGGGTCACCCTAAAACTAATTCTCATCTCAGAAGTTTGTCCAAACCACGAAAGAATCCATTTAAGATATCTCATGGGGCTCGAGTTCTTCTCTAAGTAGAGTAAGGTGTGATTAGTATATTTCATTCTAATGACACCATTAGGGTTAAGTTGTTGAAATAATCCAGCAACATGAACACAGTATGCATATTTCATGAGCATTTTGGTAAACACATGAACAACAAGCTGACATCTCATAAATTATAAATAACTGGAGTCCATTGAACCATAAGTACATCGACACACACCATTGGTAAGTGTCTATTTATTCATTCATGATTGTTGAAACTGCTTATTCACCAGCATGCATAAGTGCATCCATTTTGTCTCTCGCTCGCAAAGCTTGCTAACCAATGGAAGGGGTGGTCACGACAGTGTCGATGATGATGCGGACACGGTTGGTCCTGAAGTCGAGGGTCATCGCCGAGCCAGCAGGAAGGACATCGATATTGGCATCAGGCATGTCCTTAAGGATGATCTCCTTGGCCTCCTCGATGGACTTTCCCACTACCTCTGGCCATGACGTCTTCTTCTCCTCTCCGGCGGGGGCTTTTGGGGCGGCGCAGCTCATCCTCGATTCCGTGAGCTGCAAACAGTTTATCAAAATAGTTCAGTTCAGACTACAAATCATAATAACAATTGGCCCAAATAGTTCACCAAATTAGTATTTCAAAGAAAAGGAATATCAAACAGAGTCCAAACGGAATGAAACCTTCGGCAACGTGATTTTTTGGAAGAATGTCATCCTAGAGACTTGGAGTTCACGTCAGAAGATCCTCGAGGCAGCCACAAGATAGGAGGGCGCGCCCCCCTGTCTCATGGGCCCCTCGAGCACCTCCCGACCGACTTCTTTCGCCTATATAATCCTACGTACCCTAAAACCATCGAATATCAAGATAGATCGGGAGTTCCGCCGCCGTAAGCTGCTGTAGCCACCAAAAACCTCTCGGGAGCCCGTTCCGGCACCCTGCCGGAGGGGGAATCCATCACCGGTGGCCATCTTCATCATCCCGGCGCTCTCCATGACGAGGAGGGAGTAGTTCACCCTCGGGGCTGAGGGTATGTACCAGTAGCTATGTGTTTGATCTCTCTCTCTCTCTCTCTCTCTCTCTCTCTCTCTCTCTCGTGTTCTCTCTATGGCACGATCTTGATGTATCGCGAGCTTTGCTATTATAGTTGGATCTTATGATGTTTCTCCCCCTCTACTCTTTTGTGATTAATTGAGTTTCCCTCTTGAAGTTATCTTATCGGATTGAGTCTTTATTTGAGAACACTTGATGTATGTCTTGCCGTGTTTATCTGTGGTGACAATGGGATATCACGTGCCACTTGATGTATGTTTTGGTGACCAACTTGCGGGTTCCGCCTATGAACCTATGCATAGGGGTTGGCACCCGTTTTCTTGATTCTCCGATAAAGACTTTGGGGCACTCTTTGAAGTACTTTGTGTTGGTTGAATAGATGAATATGAGATTGTGTGATGCATACCGTATAATCATGCCCACGGATACTTGAGGTGACAATGGAGTATCTACGTGACATTAGGGTTTTGGTTGATTTGTGTCTTAAGGTGTTATTCTAGTACGAACTCTTGAATAGATTGATCCGAAAGAATAACTTTGAGGTGGTTTCGTACCCTACCATAATCTCTACGTTTGTTCTCCGCTATTAGTGGCTTTGGAGTGACTCTTTGTTGCATGTTGAGGGATTGTTACATGATCTATCTATGTTATTATTGTTGAGAGAACTTGCACTAGTGAAAGACTGAACCCTAGGCCTTGTTTCCTATCATTGCAATACCGTTTACGCTCACTTTTATCATTAGTTACCTTACTGTTTTTATATTTTCAGATCACACATACCTTTATCTACTATCCATATTGCACCTGTATCACCATCTCTTCGCCGAACTAGTGCACCTATATAATTTACCATTGTATTGGGTGTGTTGGGGACATAAAAGACTATTTATTATTTGGTTGCAGGGTTGTTTGAGAGAGACCATCTTCATCCTACGCCTCCTACGGATTGATAAACCTTAGGTCATCCACTTGAGGGAAATTTGCTACTGTCCTACAAACCTGTGCACTTGCAGGCCCAACAACGTCGATAAGAAGAAGGTTGTGTAGTAGACATCAAGCTCCCTCGCACAAGGAGACTCAAAGAACACCAGCTCAGCATAATAAACTCCATAAATCGTAATACACGGCATCTGATCTCTCAGTATCGGGCACTCCGCTGTGTCATGCGCTGGTTTGAGGCAAGTGTCAAAATGCTCGGTTACACATTCAGCAATAAAGTGCCCCCTCTCACCACAACGATAACACAACATCTTATCTTTTTTCCGAGCCCACTTAGAGGCTCTCTCACCATCAGTCTGGTCAACAGCACGTGAAGCAACCGCCACCATCGGCTCAGACACAGGAATATCAGCAGAAGCTAGCACCGTCACCACCTCCATAGCCTGACCGTTCAATTTCGGCATATGTCCAGCAGCATCCACCTCTGAGGAGGCCGTCGGTTCCATAACGACCGGCGGTGGAGGAGGTTGGCGGTAACGGTTTCTCCCACCGCGGCCACCACGATGCCCATGGTAGCCACCTCTCTGCTGGTGATCCGGGCCAGAAGCCCCCTCGACAAAGCCTCTTGGAGGACCAAAAAACGGTCTTTGAGCCGTGCCATCACTCTGCCAGGCATAGCCACGCCCACCACCCGACGATGATGATCCACGATGCTGACCCTCGCCATACACATTGATGCCATCATCGCCCCATTGTCCCCGAGGTGTCGCATAGCAGCACGGTTATTCCCCGCGCCACCAACGCCTCCTTGCTCCGGCGAAGCAGTCAGAACCGGCCCAACACGCTTCTGATGCGGCCTAGCAACCACATGAGGAGGCGGTACGCCCCTTGGCTGCTGCCCTTGCGCCAACGGCTGGTTGCGCTATACGACAGCAGCAGCGCCGGGCGCCGGAGACCTCGGCCCCAACGCCCCAGCGCCCCGACCCGCCGGTGCAGTCCCGACAGTCGCAGCTGGTCGCAGCCCCGGCGGAGCAGTACCGCCCCGCCCAGCCGGCACCATCCCCGCTGCTCCGGAAGGACACTGCCTAGGCGGAACCAGAGCCCCTCGCCCCGCCGAACCAGCAGCCGCCGGAGGCCTCTGGCCCGTAGGCTGGGCCGCAGCATGCCCGGCCGGAGCAGCACCGACAGCTCCCGAAGGCTTCAGACCCGGTGGGCCACCACCTCGCCCCGCCATGGAGAGAGGAGGTATGCGGGCGGCTCGACCGATCCCACACCTAGGGAAACCGGGGGTAGACGAGCGATAAACCCTAGATGGCAGCAAAGAACGTAGCACCTCAAGATGAACCGTCGAGGTACACGCGATGAGAGAAACAGGAGGCGGCTCGCGCATTACCTGGGCCTCATACCCAGTAATCGCAGCCACAGCCGGTCCCTCCTGTTCCCGCCCATGCTGGGCCACATACCCAGTTTCAGCCTGCTGTAACACTGGCCCATCTTGGCCCAAGAGCAATTTCAAACGAGACGCCATAGCCGCCCGGATCTCAACCACGTCGGTGATCACTGGCAGCGGCGGCGGCGCGTTCGTCCTACCCTTCCTCTTCTTCTTCTTACTAACTACGCGAGTCCAAGAATCCAGATTGATAAAGTCTGACAACGTAATCAGTTTGATGCATACCTTCAGTAACGGACCTTACCATGGCCGACCCGTAGACGTCATCGTCCTTCGATGAATGATCTAGCGCACCACCTCCACCTTCTCGTCAGGGCGAAGTCCTTGCCGTGCCGGATCGTCCAGCGGTACGACTCCGTCTACAATAGAAGCCACCTCCCCCTTTGAATACCTAGGGTTGAAGGCCTCGCAAATCACATCTGACGGCGCCGGCGAGTACTCCTCCAGCGAGACTCCGGCGAGATCGTCGTCATCATCATCCTCCTCGTCCGGCCCCGTGAGAACCCAAAACCTGCCGCCGATCTGCCTTCCACCCAGCACGACGGATGCAAATGGCTGGGTCGCGGCGGTCGCCGCGGGCGCCGCCCGAGTCACGCCTGTCGCGCCTAGGCCTTTCGTTTGACCCTTCTTTCTTGTTTCCTGTGGAGCTAGATGTGATTTTGACATTGCTTTTGTTGTGTCCTGGTCCATGGTTTGCAGGTGCTTCTTCTACTGGTAGATCCCCTCCTGTGATTCTCGTTCGACCTGTGCTGGCCTTCACGCCTTCGTCGAGGAACTATAGGTCGACCCATCTTCTTTTCCATTATATATTCCTTTTTTTTGTAGAACTAGGCTTTGCGTTCGTGTGTCGGTCTATGTTTGTTGTCTTCTCTGTATGGGGATGTTGTTGCATTCGGTTCATATGTTGGTTAGCCGCTATTAGATTCGGTTGGTGTGCAGGTTAGCCAAGGAGTGTATCCCTTCTTTGTCTTACCTTTTTTTGAGGTAATAAGCCAAGTTTATTCATCAAACACCACAGAATGTGGGATACAATTCAGATCATGGGGTTGGCCCAACCAAATGTGTCGACCCTGACCGAGAGCAAGTGAATACTTAGCTAACCTATGTGCATTAACATTGACCACACGGCTTTCAAAAGTAAATATACACTAAAATAAAGATGTTGTAAGCGAGATTTCGTGAACTATGGATCCATTCCTTCCTCTTGTGCCCTGATTGATGTCAACTATTGTTTGCTTGGAGTCTGAAGCAATGACAAAGTTGTGCAGGTTGAGGTCTTCGGCTAGCGCTAGCCCTTCTCTGCTTGCAATAGTGTCTAGAATGGAAGGATCATCAAAACCTACAACCACTAGAGCCGAGCTACCCAGATAGTTGCCTTGACTGTCCCTGCAAACCGCACCGGCAGAACCCCGGCTACCTGCTCTCACACCCGCATCAACATGGAATTTTGCGAAGCCAACAGGAGGAGCTTTTGCATGGGTAGGGTGTAGAGTAGGGGCTCCTCCATGCATGGGAACTGGTTGTTTATCCTTGATTACCTCCAACTCTAAGATGAATTTTTGAACAAAAAGGTTCATAGCTTGTGGTGTTTGGAAAATCCCTTCATGGATGGCTTTGCGTCGAGCTGTCCAGATCGCCCAGAGGGTGACTACAAGCTTCACGAATTGATCATGTGATAACTTCTTCATCAAAGAAAATAGCCCCTGCTTGGCTTTTGTCTCTGTGGTTGACACTAGTGTCTGCGCAAGATCATCGTCAACCAGTGCCCAAGTGCATCTCGATGCTGTGCCGTTGATAAGAGAGTGCCGCAAGAATCGGGGGAGCCACATAAACCACATGAAGAATTATTTGCCATATGACGATGCGCCCGGACGTCCTCTGTAGGCAGTGAGTGTTTTGATAAACGCCAGAGAAACACCTTGATATTTCCGGGTTCTTGTGTCTTCCAGAGGTTCTTCCACGATCCTTCTTCCATCATCCCCATAGACGAGCCAGCCCTGCCCTCGAGCCACGCGTCCCGCCTCTGTCTGGTTGCAACCAGCATGCGGTAAGCTGACTTCACAGAGTAGTTGCCATTTTTCTCAAAATTCCAGCTCCAAT